GTTTCGCTAAATTTTTACTAAGTGTTTGATATAGTTTCGCTATTTTTATAAACTTTGATATAGTTTTACCTTTTTCTAAATTTTGCAAATTTTTAATAAGATTTTAATATAATTTAACCAAGTTTTACTTTTACCATTTAGACATTTGTCTAAACTCTTGATTTCATCTAGCAACCTTAAGTACAACGAAACCCTGAAATCTGAAATTAGCCGAAACTATATTAAAAACATAGTAAGAGATATGACGAAATTATTTTGAGGAAGTTTCGGCTGGCATCTTTAGTAGTAATCCATCAAAATCACACATTAACAGTATGTAAACAATTAAAATTGTTTTGTAATCTTAATTTTTCAATCTAATCAATCAAAAATTAGAAATTTATACTCAATTGTAATTTTGATGTGATTGGTTATATTTTTTTTAGTTAATCTAAAAATGAATAGGATTATAAAAAAATACTATACATAGAATACTTTATGATATTTTTTCCAGTATAATTCTCAGGTCATGTAACTTATATATATCTATCACATTCACTATGTTTCATTTTTTACTATTTAATCTAAAACCAGTTGTTTTTTAGGATGTGAAATCCTATTTGTCATTCATTATTTGTCAGGGTTAGTAAAGGCTGGTTTATTAAAATTAGCCACATTATATATAATCACATGACCCGGGGGTCATTTAATTCAGGTCAATTTTATGTCTGACCCGACCTGACCTTATCAGGTCGGCTCAAGTCAATTACCTTCCCTACCCGACCTGTTCGGAGCTCTAGCCATAGCTGTAAAAACTTGGTTAAAACGTAAGAGCGAATAAATCTAAGGAAAGGCGGAGTCGTAATAGTGCTTTTTGAAGCATGATCATATTAGTATGATCATAAATAAGCCGTTGACCCAGGGTTTTGGTTTAGCGATAGGATATTAGCAAGGTTCCAAGAAATGTATGATTTGTATATTACATATTATCATCATCACATTTATTCCGGATGAAGAAAATTCTGTTGAAAAAAGGCTTCCATTTACATCATAATAGAATTTTGCAAAAATTATGATCCTTGGAGATTAATAATAAACACTCTTTATTATCAATAAAAACCTTTCTGAGGGTTTACATATTTGTTTAAAATAATACTGTATAATTTTATTTGTTTTTGTTATCGGCTCTCATAATCCGGAATTGGATCTGCTGATCACCTATTTACTTTAACAAACGATATTTCGTTAATCATTTATGGATTTAGCCAAATGGATGATTAAAAATATTAAAAAAATTAAATTTTAGAGTGGATGGAGAAATTTGGCGCTCAATTAAATTAAATTAATATTACTTGAATCTTAATTTTTTTTTCTCCTATATCTAAGATTTGTATGGTAATATGCTTTTCCCATGTATAACAAACATGGTTGCAGAATGCATATTACATTACCTTTTTATTCGTCCATTAATTACTCCACAAAAACACGTTTAAATTTTAAGTCTGAAATTTTGGGATAAGTTGGACTCAATTTTTATATTCGTTGAAACACTAATTATCCATAAACGATTTTTCGTTTCAAAATCAAAAAACATGAGTAATACTCCCGGAGGAGGTCCAGACTTTGTTAAAAAGCTTTTCAAGTAAGTTATTAATTCAAACCAAGTTGTTTTTAACTTTTTTGACAGAAATCCAAAAAAGATTTTGTTTATTTTAAAGGATGTTGGAGGATGACTCTTATAATGACGTTGTATCATGGGGAGTAAACGGTGATAGTTTTGTTGTTAAGGTGGTTATATAACAACTTGTCTCTGGATTCCAATTTAATTAATGCACCTTAAATTGTTGACATTGCATAAATTTTTGATTAAATAGGAAATTAACGCATTTACGAAAACAATTCTTCCTCGACATTTCAAGCATTCTAACTTTGCTAGTTTCGTTCGGCAACTTAATAAATACGATTTTCATAAAATTAGGAATTCTGACGATTCTAATTCACCATACGGAGAACAGGTATTAAGTCACACAAAATTTTTGCTCTAAACAAGTTATGTATAATTTTTATTATGATTATTAGGCTTGGGAATTTCATCATCCAAAATTTCAATGTGACAAGAGAGATCAATTGGATAATATTAAGGTACTGAGATTTATAAAATTTATTTAACAAAATTGTAGTTAAATAATTAAATTTATTTTGTTTTCCCTCAGAGAAAAACTCCAGCTAATCAGAGAAGAATAGCACTTAATAATACTATTGATGTTCCAAATATGTCACATTTAACGGAACTTCAATCTCAGGTTAATAATTTAACCAAATTGCAAACGAATATGAACGATCATTTGCACTCTTTGAGCAAGAATTATCATTCGGTTGTTCAAGATTTGTTAAACTTCCAAAAAAATATGGTTGCACAAGATCAATTAATGCAGAATTTGGTGCAATACTTGGTGAATTTGGAAGCAGGTATGTTCATAAATTCAAACTTAAATTCCAAGATATATATATATATATATATATTTACAAATATTTAAATTATATATAAATTCCTCAAGAAAAATCCGGAAATTACAATAGTAGTCATCAGTCAAGCACATCCGGTGAGGGTATTCCGACTCCATTTATACCTTCAGAACAAGCTCAAAAACTAATTAATTCATATACGGAAGTTGCCCGTGCTTCTTTTGATCAAATGAATGAGATTTCTCGTCGGGCGCAATCAATACATCATGTCGCTAGCGCTAGTGAAATGAATAATTCCGGTTCAACTTCTTTAGATTCTAGTTCAAATTCATCAAATGAGTCTTTAGAACACAATAATCCAACGTCATTACGATCAAATCTTTCTAATAATAATAATAATAACAACTCCACCTCATCAGAATCAACTTTGCCAAAAGATTTTATTCCTCAACCGACATCCGCAAATTCTACTGCATCTCAATCTACAGAAGCCGTTAACATAACAAATGAGTATTCACATAATCTCACCAATACAATGAGTTTACAGCATTCAGATAATGGACTTACTGTGTTTACAGTGGGTCATTTAAAACCAAGGCAGACACAATCGACTTCCACTCCTAATTTATTACCTGTTTCTTCTTCAAATAATGGTAATTCTAGTATTCCACATATTGATAACACTTCTCCACAGAGAGCTTCAAATACTATGCGTGTTCACCGTAGTACATTTGTACCGGCATGGTCTGTTCCTCCAAAGGTACTTCTTGTGGATGACGATGCTGTTTATCAAAATATCGGTTCTAAGTTTTTACAAGTTTTTGGTTGCGCTATTGATATCGCCGTTGATGGAATAAGTGCTGTTAATAAAATGAATTTTGAAAAATATGACCTTGTTTTAATGGTATTATTCGTTTATTCTTTTCAAATTTAATATATTTACGAACGAACTATATTAATTCTTTAAGTTTCTCATTCCCAGGACATTGTATTACCAAATTTAGATGGTAAGATCAATTTAATATTGTTTATTTCATTAATGAATTTGATATTACTAATTTTACTAAATATATATAGGTGTTGAAGCAACAACTCAGATAAGAAGATTTGATCCCAACACGCCTATTATTAGTATGACTTCAAACACCACTACGCAAGAATGTATTAAGTATCTTTCTCATGGAATGAATGACATTCTTGCCAAACCATTTACAAAAGCACATCTTCTTTCAATGTTAGAGAGATACTGTATGCACTTAAAGATCATGCCAAATTTCCAGAATATTTCTAGGCCACTGGGAGCTGCCGACAGACCAGTAACAATTATTTCGAATAACGATAACTTTTCTTCAGATTTTGCCAATGATAATAATCTCAATGACAATTGGATGTCAAATCAAATACCATTAGTTGTGTCTGGAGACAATTCATATTCTTCTGGCTCAAATTTTGCTGTCATGAATAGTGATGACTATATGCAAATGATGAATAATATTGTTAGTGCTTCTAATTGTTCAAATAATAATGGATCTCGTTATTTAGAAGATAACGACAATAACCAGCGGCCCAGAAAAAGACCAAAATTTGAATTGGTTGAATAATCTTAAGTACCTTTCAAATGTTAATTAATCTCTTAAAAGTGAGCTTGGGTTTTTGTTTTTTTATTATTATTCGCTTTTTTGTATTTGTAAATATATATATTTTTTTTTTTGCCTTTCTATTATGGTATGAATATTTTAATGTTTATTATTATCCTATCAGTTCTAATAAAAAGAAAAATTTGACTTAATTTATTATAAATCGAACTTAATTCTGTAAATTTCAATTAAGATATTTTCCAATTAAATAATAAAAGGAATTACCAAGATATTAACCGAAATCAGTAATAATATCTTTTTGTTTACATGCATTTGGTAATACTCGTGATGCTCATTATAAAATACCCTAATTCTCAAATAAAAAAAAAAATAAAAAAATTACATCGTTTTTGTCTGGAAAGATTAAGTTGAATAAAAACATGTACCTATCACCAAGTCCTTTGCGAAATTCAATATTCGTTTCAAACCGGTTGACAAATGCAAATAATCTTTCACAAATTTCGAGTCCTTCAGAAAATTCGATTTATTATAAAGTGAATCAGTCGAATAGTCTTCTTAGTCAAAACTTTCCACCAGTTACCAGTCCTATACAAAATACAAGTTTGAATACTTCAACCTCTCGGTTCATTCAACCACCGTTGTTGGATAGTTTTAACACGCAGAGTCCAATTAACTCACCTTTAAACTTGGTACCATCTGGTTCAACTATTACCAAAAATAGTTACGAACCGACTCATAGATGCACTACTTGTGGGCACGTTCACACCTGTAATGATTGTAAACAAATTTCTAACCTTCAACAAGTTATTGATCCACCGGAAAAGAAAATTCACGAACCTATAATTATAAATACTGCAAAGGTAAGGAGTAAAAAATATATATATCACTTCTTTATGGATGCATTGTATTTGACACACTATTGAATCTAGGCGATGGGCAGAATGAATAGAAGGATGGCAAATGGACCTTATTTCCGTCCGTAAGTATTATTATAATATCTTTAATGAAATATTCATTCCTTATCTTAAAAAAGAGTTGTTTTATTTATTTATTTATTTATTTTAAAAAAAAATAAAACTAGTGAAAGGTCTAGGAATGTTTTAATTTCACAAGACGAAATTTTACATCGTACGATGGCCGATCCTAATTTGAATTTTGCAGACATTGTTAATCAAGTTGCAAAAGAAAAAGAGCAAGAACAGGAAATAGCCATGATTACTGGCAATTATCCATATCATCAAAATGAATATCAACAAACTGTTTTGTCGTCCCAAAACGATGGGCAATCCGTTCAGGATCTTCAACCTATTTTTTCGACTGACGTTAGCGGTACAAGTGTTCTTTTACAAGGAAGTACTTCTTCACAACCTTCACAGGAACAACTTCTAAATTCCAACGCGTAAGATATCAAAAAAAATATATATATATTTTTTTTTCTTTTCTATTTGCTTTTAATTAGATAAATCTTCAGATCACCTAACTAACTTCTTGATATACTTTTTAGAACGATATTAACAACGCCGGATGTAACAATCATATGCAATGAGCAATCATCTCCTACCCTGTCACCTATCATAAGAGATTCTAAACTTGTTGATAATTCTTTGGGATACAAAAAGGCAATTGTACAGTATGCTTTGCCAAGGAAAAATGTTGTAGCAGCAAAACCTCGTCCTAATCCTGTAACACCAACCATTAAGGTTAGCAATAATGGCGATAAGTTAAAGAACTTGAAAGATTACTTAAACAAATTATGGGTTTGGTAGTAAAGAGAAAACATTTAATTCAAACAATCATTTTTGATTTATTAACATATCATTATATCATCACATTTGACAAATTTATTATTACAATAATCTAAAAGTTTAGATTTTTTTTTTTTTTTTTTTTTTTCGTTTGTTTCGTATAATATATTTTCTATCGGAAGAAAATGGTGTTTCAAAATGGAGATGAGGGAATAAAAGGGTTGATATTTACAAAAAAAAAAAAAGAAGTTCTTTTGGACAAAATTACAAAATACAATAGTCCATCATACTGTATTAATTACACTTAAACATGTATTTCATAATAAATTAATAAGTTTAAAATTAAAATTACGTTTCTAATCAGAGTAGGGGGGACATGGTGAAGGGAGGTGTTATGTTATCTTTTTTAACATCATACCTATCATTCAATATACCACCACTTCTTGCTCTACCCATTCCAACCTTTACGGAACCAAAACTCCTTTTCCAATATTTTTCACCAGCATAATCTATACTATGTAATAATTTATCAACGAGATTAGGATTTTGAATAGAATCTTGCGTCATGGTTGGTAAAGGAAATGATATGCTATGATGATGTTTATGACGATTTAGATATGATACAGGTAATGGTGATGGTAATGTTGTTAGAGGAGTATTATGAGCGGATGAATTAGCAGAGGTGGAAGTGGAGGAAAGAGACATTCTTTTTGTTGGAAAGAAAGTCAGTTGATCGGCAGGTAATTGTTGAAATTCGGCTCTTGTAAAATTATTGGTATTATTACTGTTGTTGGAAGATGTAGATGAAATTGAACTAGACGAAGAGGCAATTGAAGAAATGGAACATCCACCAAAATGATGATGGTTATTATTATAAACATAATTCGCATGTTCAGGTAATGTACAGAATAATAATTCTCTTTCATAAATTGTAAATGGAGTTGAAGGTGTCGTTGGAGAAAATGTTGGTCTTATTGTATTATCAGAAGTTGATAATCTATTTGTTTTAATTGAGATATGATCATCTTGAACAATTACTTTTGCTTCATCATCAATAATTGAACATTGATCAATTGGAATATATAAAAATTTACGTAGATGAATTGAATCATTTGTCCATAATTTATTTGCTTTCTTTAAAATTGACATCTGAAAGTTTAAAGAGAAAATGAGGAAATTAAAAAAATTGTAATTATTTTTTTTTTAAAAAAAAAAAAAGAAAAAAAAGATGATAGATACCTCAATTCCATAAAATAAAGCGACGCCAGCTATGGTGTCAGATGGTTTAATTTCATGCACGATAACCATTTTTCTTTCTCCATTGCCTTCTTTTAATAAATTATTTTCTTTTTGTTGTTGACCTTGTTTATTTAAATCAGTATTAATACTAATTTGAGGCATGCTTCTTCTTTTTGTTAATGCTAACTTTATTTTTTCTTTATTACTACCACCATTATTTGGTAAGTTTTCATTATTTTTAACATCAGCCTTTAATGAAGTTGAGGAATGTCGTTTACCAATCCCACCTGAAAATAATTCATGGTTATCATGAAATTTACTAAAACATGTTGGAGAGATTGGCGAAGTGGTAGTTTGATGATTAAGCGGATGAGAATTAGTCGGAATAAGTGGTAATTTATGTGGAGAAGCGACGGAACAAACTGACGTTGATATATGTTCTAATAAGGGCCGTTTCTTTTTATATTCTAATTCCTTTGTTAAAGATACTTTTGGTGGAAAAAATACTTTTGGTGGTGCTCCTTTAACCATAAAAGAAGAGCCGTCTGTCAAAATTTGATCACCTTCTATCGCAAAAGGGTTAAGTAACCTTGGCAAATCAAGAGTATCATTACCAATTGACCAATTTTGAAAATGATTATTTTCCATTTTATTTAATAAAATTCGTTGAGGGGAAATTATTTTTCGTTTAAAAAAATTTGTCTATTTTGTTATTTATAAGAATTTCGTTATTATAAATATTCAAAAGAAGGTGAAAACTTCTTGAACAAAATGAAACTTTTCGAAGACTTTTTTATATAAAAAAAAAAAAATTATTTGGCGTAAAAAATTGATTGAAAACTTTTTTTCATTTGAAATTTTTTTTGAGATGTTTATGTTCGGACTTTTCCTCGAAAATTCCGGTTTAAATTCTAATTACTTCTTGTTTCAGATATCTTGTAATACATTAAACTTATCAATTAATTTAATCAAAAAATTAGATTAATTAAAAAGTTCCAGACTATTTTTGGAAATTTTATTTCAAAATTGCCGTTAATTTCGATTCGGGAAAATATTTATATACATATACTGAATATATAAAGTTAAGATTCGATGCAGTTTATGTACCGCAATCATTACGAACTTTATCGAGATTACTATCAACCGATGTTGTGTTATAAATGTCTTACAAACAACAGGGTTCGGATTGACCGATAAAGTTTTAAATATTTCACTGATTAAAAAAATTTAAATAGGTGATTTTTATTTTATTTATATTTACAACATAATCGTTAGACTGGCACTTGATTTTGCTTTGATTGGCCAGAACATTTCGTGCAACCATACAAGGAATAAACGAAAAAAAAAAATTGTCTTTTAGAAGGATTTGTTTCGCGACTTTCTTACACGCGTTCATGGTTTAATTTGAGTAATACAAAAATAACAAAAAAAAAAGTTCTAACCCTTAAACTGTTGAACAGACAAATTTGGCGAAGATCTTTAACTTTTTTGAATTTTTGATTAATGTAAAAAAAAGTTTTCGGAGATTAATTTTCAATTTTAAATATTTTTTCTTGAAAATTTATCATTAAATAATTATCGCAAGACCCTACTGTATAGCAATATTGGAATTTGGCCAAAAAAAAATTATTTAGCCAAAGCCAAAATGCCAACTAAATATTACATATTTATTATTTAAACATTGACCATGCGGAGTTTTTTGACCAATATTTTTTTTAAAATATATTATATTTTGCATCCATATCTATCGTACGGCTAAAGCAGATCATGCTTAAAAGCTCTGAGATTTATTTCTAGTTAGTAATGATTTTTTCAAGTAAAACTCTCTCTTTCACCAATATAAAGGAGGCAAATCACCAAATTTAGGACTATCCTTCCTCCGGTTTATCAAATGAACCATACCAAAACTTTATTTCAATATTGTGTTGCCATGTGTGCAGTTGCCTTTTCTTTACAGTCAATTTGTATTTATTTTCATTATAAAATGAATATATTTCGGTATCCAAGCAAAATTTTAGTTTAAAAAATTCTTCCGTGGCAGGATTATAATAAAAAGAATGGTCGGAGATATTGATGTCTGGTTTATTCTACTGTAGTGGTCAATTCTCAACTTCTAAATTCAATTCCTTATATTTCTTGATAATTTTTTTTTATTAAATATTTATCTAACTGTAGTCTATACAAATGAGTAAATTACCGTAAAAAGTCAATTATTTCACAACAAATCAATATTATTGATAAATCTTTTGAATAATAAATCTTTAGTGATTAAATTAGAAAGGCTAATAAGAAATTAAGATAGAAAATCAATTATTTTCTATGTTATGATAATTAGCTATTAATAGCTATTAATTTCAATATTTAACGCAAATAAGCTACTAATGTATAATATTGTACGATCAATGCAAAATAAAGTATATTATAAAAAAATATAGGTCAGCATGGCTGTGCGATAATGAATAATATTGAATATCAGTAATTCATTATATTAGCCTTTCTAAAATTCCACTATAAAAAAATCAAAAAATATAAAAAAAATACACTAAAGAGCTAATTAATATTCACAGTATTTTCTTTGATTTTTTGCAATCTTTTACATAAAATAATTAAATTTTTGTAGTTATGAACTCATTTATAAAGAAGAGACAGCTTCACTATAAATAGATAAATATTTAAGAGCAATTTCTATTTGCAATTGAAAGCACTTATGATATCTCATAGAAAAAAAAAAAATTCTTTCTGCAAAAATGTTAAGATGACCAAAAAATTTTGCAACAAAAACCCAATGATCAAAAAGACCACTTCCATTCACTAATGATGCTATTCAAACCCTATTTTAACATGTAGCTTAAAAATTTAGAAACTTTTTTGAAACCTTTAAAATGACTTTTTTTTTAATCTAAAACTTGATTAAACTTAATTGAGTTTAGAAAAACCTATTAAAAGTTTAGATAAAGATATTTATTATAAACAAACTAGTGTTGGTAAATAACTTGATCATATCAAAATTTTTTAGATCATATAAGACCTTTGCAATAGAAAGGGAAGAAACTGCCAAGAAAAATTAAATTTCTTTTATATGCCAAATATGATTTTATGCTGAAATATGTTCAAATTTAACATTTAACTTATTTTTGATTTTTCTGATAGTTTTCCCTCTTTCTATTGTAAAAGTCCATATTATCATAATATCATATGACACTATGTCATAAGGTCATAAGGTTATATATAAATCACATGATTTATATAATTTCAGCCAGCATTATGAAACACCAATTTGCTTTAATTGGATTATGTAATATTACATAAAAGCAATACATTCATGTAACATATTTTGAATCTAAGGGAAGGATCAGAAATGATGTCATTTATTAAGAAAGGAAGAAGGTCAGCCTATAATGACATTACATAAATTTTGATTTCCATTTTGGAAGGGTCCTACAACTGAATAACGTTATATAAGAAGATTACTATTTTTTAAATAAATTGGTTATTAAAAATTTTGCAATTCTGAAATTTAGAATTAAAATAATTAAAAATAAGTGATCCAATTTTAAAATTTAGCATAAAATAGTGATACAATTTTAAAATGCATGTGTTTTACATCATAATCTGATAAAAGAGAATTTTTTTCTTGATTGAAAATTTAAAAAAATGTAGAATGTAAAAAAATATATATAGTTATCATAAATATAAAATTTATGATAATTACACAGTTGTTTTACATAATTGTTTTCTTAATTATTTTATGATTATAATGAAACAAGTCACTTTAAGAAACCAAAATTTTTCAAAATTATATTATTTGAAAATTCAAAAACCTTTATAAGGAGTTTGTGAATGCTTTCACATTCTGTGAAATGATAAATACCCATAATGATACATCAAATATAAGGAAGTTGCAGGAATGAACTTAAAGTAGCTAATGAGAAATAAAATGGAAAAATAAAGAATTTATTCAAAATCATATTTTGAATTATTACAAATACCAATTCAACCTCATTCTATAAATTTTTTTTCATAACAAAAATCTGTAAAAAATATACAATGCTATCTTTAGAATCTCTTTCCATATCTACTGAAAAATTTCTATTAAACATAATGATACAAAAACAATTAGATATAAATCTTCAAAAAAATAAAGCTGATTTATATAAATATAATAATCTATTAAAAGCAGCTACATCATCAGAATTACGTTCACAATTCGCTTCAAAAATTAAACAGATTGAAAATACAATTGTTTTTGAAGAAAGAAAATTCAAGAAGCTAAAGGGTAATACGAAAGCTTGACAATAAGCTCAAAATAAAAAGTAGAAAAAATTAGATAAAGAGAATATTATTAAAATGTATGATGTATTTGGTCATCCATTATTTCTGATAAATGATTCTGAACTTTTGGATAAAATGCATATTTGTGTCAAATTCAGAGTTGCAGACCATAAAAAATGCAAGAAAATGATTAAGGTTCAAATCATTAAGCATCTTTATAAAGAGATGGAAGAAAAGATGATGCCTATATGACAAATCTACCATATAGAATTATATGCAACCTAAACACTTGGGAATGAATGAAGCATAATAACACTATCATCTTGCGCAAATTGGTTTATCATCTATTAGAAGAAATGAGATGGCCAGTCATATTGATAAATACTAAAAATGCCTTCCTTAATTATTTTTAGAAAATTTGAGTTTCAAGATATTTGAGATAAAACTATTTGTTTATAATAAATATCTTTACTTAAATAGGGATCAGCATCTCTGGCTCAGTGGTTAAACCGCGAGTCTCCTATTAAGCTAAAGTTTTATTATACAGCAAATAGGCCATCAATTTAGGTATCAGCTGATATATAAAACTAGATGATTTTCATAAAATTTTATATGTGGCTGAAATGATGAGCGTATGTACTAACATGTGTATAAATCTGGTTGATTGATCTATCGATCAACGTTGATCATGCTTAAATACTACACAGTGTTAGAATATGTAGATGCAAATAAAGTCTTAGATCGACAGAAATTTAGCCTTCGCTAATTGGTAAGTAATGGATACAATCTTACGTCTCACCTAGCAAGGGATCCTTATTTCTGTATATGATCATAAATATTGTATATAAATTAAGGAAGTGATTAACCAGAAATTAGTAGATTAGATCAACAGTGATAATAAACTGTATTGTATGCTGCAGCACTGTATAATCGAGCTGTCATTAAGATTAGAGGTCAGGTTCGATTCCTGAGTTACTTCACTATCACCATCATCAACACCTTTTTATTTAGAATATGATAAAAGTTTAGGTAATTTTATTGATTTTTTTAAAAAAAATAATAAAAAACAAAATATATGGATTTTTTTTTATTTTTTTTATTTATTTTATAATTATTATAGAAGATAACACCACCACTACTAATGTTGCTAATACTACCATCACCACCAATGTTGCTAATACCACCACTATTACCAATATTATAGTTAACATCAAGATTGCTACTGTCAAAGTTGTCGCCACCAAAGCTGTCAAGACTGCTACTGTTAAAGTTGCTGCTAATAAAGTTGCCTTTACCAAAGCTACTACTAAAGCTGCTAAGGCTACCATTATCAAAGTTGCCGCCAATGAAGTTACCTCTACCAAAGCTGTCATCAT